GCTCATAACCAAGAAATATCACTGCTTCAATGAACAAAAGGAATATAAAATTATGAAAACGCATTTTGCACTCGATTTGATCTTAGATATGGCTCGGAACATTTATCTAAGTGAATAAGCCTTTTTTCGTATCCATCTTGTAAAATACTATGTTGCAGTAAGACAGGGTCTGCAAAATGCTGCCACATTCGACCCGGATAATGATGTTACCTACTTTTTGATAAAGAAAATAACTTCCAAATGGCAATAACTATATCCAGCGAGAAGGTTTCCCAATAAACTACCGTACTTCATTGTAATAAGGGACGAGTTGAAGTAGGCTGCTCTGTTTTTTCCGCGGCTCTGAAGCAAGCCTCATAAGCCGAACAAAGTTAAACACCTGTTGTAATGGCGGATAAATACACAAATTCGTCCCTAATTGGTTTAGCTATCGATTTACGTTTTGTGATGTACACCGATATTGAGGGGCTTCCAAACGCGTGACCTCTAGTGAGAAATTCACAGGGAAAATCGTCACAATGGCTTCAAAGTCATAAATCTCTTTACACCGGTTGTTATGGTCTGCTTTGAATCATCACTGAGCTTGCTGGGGATCAGAGTAAACAATGCAGACTTCATTGGGTTCAAAATATCAATGTTTCCAGTGTGTCAGATTCGAATTTCTTCTTGGAAGACCACTTTATTGCCGAATACTGCTTCAGATTATGCTTCCCATGAGAGTGTTCATCTTATAGCGATTGGTATATCAACGTAATTGGTCTATGCTTTTATAATAGAAAAACCGTTGACACCTTGATGGTTCTGTGGTCACAACGTTGTAGTGAGGAGTGACATGGAACGTTTTACCCCTTATTTCCCACTTTCCATTTCACACTGTCTCATGTTCGCCAAGTGAAAAATGGCAAATCCGTTAAAATTATCACCCAAAGAAACTTGTTTGTGGTTTGAAACTTGTCTGGGTGTAAAATTTGTTATATCCATACTAATATCTGAGAAACTGTTCTCCTCGTTCTAAGCGCCGTGGGTGCTGGCTGAATCCCAGAATAAAATAGCTCGTTTTTCCCCTGACAAAACAAGATGCAGAATAGATTCAAAACGATTTCAATTAAAGGCTTATGGGAATGAGACACATTCAGATGAAACGTAAAACCTGAAACACATTCAAATTTGATCATTTTGGACGCGAGGGTCTTGAATCTTATAAATGATGTTAAATCCGCTATGGGTGGGGAATATGCAGGTGGATTCTTCGTTATCTATAAGAATTAGGCTCGTCATTCCCAGGCTCATTTCGACGAATAATACGTAAATCTTTTCATCTGTCAAACTATAAGGTACAGTACTTCTGGAAGGTGGCCGCGGCCAATCCAAGGCTACCGAATGGGAAAGTGACCATTGATGGTGGGAAGCGAGCCCAGGACGTCATGATCAAAACTTCACGATGATGACCTTTGGCTACCTCTCGTAAGATTTGGTAACACAGAGACTGATAAAGTTCACTTTGCACAGCTGTTGAATTAGTGCTTTTGGTGCTTAAACTACGGGAAATATTGAAAGACACGAATTCTGTAGACGGTCTGCAATACTTGGGTTTTAGTTCGGCTTCTGCTGACAGATAAAAAGCGTCATGGTTTTTGGCTTCTTTGTTGATGAACAAATAGAAACCCAAGAATATGTTAATATTTTTGTGTGCAATAATGAATAATTTGGTGGTAAAAGCCATGTCTTTTCGGCCTCACCGTGTCAGACTCTGTGAGAGACAATTGATGAATAGTTAGAACAGTGGTTTGATTTGGAGGACCAAGATGCTTCGAAGAAACCGACTATCATCCCGTTCGTCGTTTCTAGTTAAAATCAACTGAGAATATTCTGTTAACTGGGATACATGATATATCAGCCGGGAACTTGCTTGTCATATCACCGGCAGTTTACATTTCCTGTGTCAGGAGGGAAGAATCCACGTGGAATTCATATTGCAGAGGCGAATACTGAAGCAGCAGAACGATGCAAACATCAAGCCGATTAGACCAACCGGTCGTGAGCCACAGACCAAAGAACAGACGATGCATTTGTCAGAAGTATCCCCCAACAAACAAAAAGAGGCATTCGGACTAGCAGACAGAACGCAGCGGGATATTTTGCAACCAGGAGGATAGTTCAGGTGAGGAGCTACCGAACAAGCCTTCAACTGAAGCAATCGGATCAGCTGAACCTAAATAATGAGTAAGAGAATCAAGCTAACGGCCATAGTGAACTGGCCAGAATGCAGCCAGAATACTCGGGCAGTCGGAGGATCAAAGCTGCTGTAGCTCAGTTTGGAGAACGGACCATATAAATGATTATATATGTTCCACGAACTTGTCCAAATACGAGTGTCCTCACTCGTCTCGCCATCTTCGTTACTATATGGAGTAAAAAGGGCACGAGCAGGAAGGATAGGTATATGAACCTTGTCGTCCTTATTGTGACACAACAAGATCCCATCACCAAATCGCTTAAAAACTATAGTGTAAGACAACGAGCTGTGCACAATGACGTCCTTGTCATTTCGTGCAAGGTCAGACTGGTAGAGAATCATGATGGGCATCCTAGATTCGTCCAAATAGTCTTTACTATTTTGTACTGTATTCTATTCGTAGATAATAAATTCTGTCTCTCTTGTTAGTCTACAGGCTTATCATTCATCTATATCAAAAATGAGCAAAGCTTTGCTTGAGTGAGGTGCATTTCACTGTTTTCAGTTGCACGCTGATTACTTCCAATAATGATATCTATCTGAATTTTGCGTACGAGTATGAGTACCAAACAGGTAACCAGCTATTTGACTTCGAACCAGCTCAGCAATGAGTTTCATGTGATGAAGCTTTCACTTCCGTGGAAAAAAGAAGAAAGGTTTATGTACGCTTTATCGAATAAGCAAAGCTATATGCCGAATTTTTTTTTACCATGAAAGACTTGTGGAATATGCATATCATTGGGGTACAGTTAAAAGTGTTCTCTAAGAAAATTTACACAATCGTCTAAAATTACGGTGGTAAGTCAAATGAGGTCTTTTACAAATGTTTTGGCAAATTATGGCTTATCCGTAAAGTTAAGTATCACATTCTTGCGGTGCAAACGGACAATACTTACTCACACAAATGTCAAACGAGACCACATTTAGGCATTGTTTTTGTCCCACTGTGATTGCATTTACTCATGGGCCTATTCAAACGCATTTTAATAGCACGTTACCATTTCCTGATCGTGGCAACAGTATCTGCGAGCAACAAACGTTCGTACTGGTACGAAAGAGGGCAACCTGAATAATTTGTACAGATCGTGACAGGACTCGAGACTAGAAGACGGAGAATAAACTGAGCTGGAGAGATTCGAATGGGAAACATGCTAAAACCGTTCCCATTCTGAGCTTGCTGTGAGCTCATTTACACCGACTTTACGCATGATTCGTAGTCTGTGATCAGTAAAGCATCGGAGCCGAGAGTCATCAATACGGGAGGTATTTCGGTGATTGCTGAAGTTAAGTGCTGTATGCCTAATGTCGGTGAATCACAATCCTTCTTGACCGATCCGATCCCCACCTGAGGCTCGACAGGTGCGCATCGCCACAGAGGATTCCCAACAGACTAACTAAAACTGATGTAGGTCGCCGTTTAGGAGGAAGGTTTTCATTAGTTCCTATGTACTAATGGTGGCATCTCGGTTGATGATGAAAAGTTTGTCCCCTGTATTCCAAGCTCACTAATTAGAGCCTGTTGAAGACGCGCGGACAGATGATTTAGGAATTCTCCGGGAACCTCACAATTCTATCGTGTTGAACAACAGTAATTCAGTGTTGGGTAACAACATGAGAAAATTCAACCTGTGGCGTACTACTCTGTCTATGTGGTACACTAAATTATTGTCAACAATATCTAAGACGACACCAGCATACTAAGATGGACGGAGGAGCGTGCGGTGATAAGTAGGCCAAAAGGGTATGCACATTAGGAATTAAAATGAAACAAAAGGTGTGACTAAAACTCACAGATGTTCAGTGTTCTTATGATCAGGAAATGAGCGTCGAAGAGCCAATATCCGCCAATGTCTTCAGTTCAGTTCGGTCTGACAGCCATCCGTTGAACAGAACAGGATGGTATTGATCGAAGTGCCAAGAGATGCCGTTGAAGCCTCTAAAATGTTTTGTTTCACTCAGTTAGTTCCGACCGATATAATTCCAAGACACTACAAACCAGAAGAAGAGACCGTGCCAGAATGAAAGATTTATTTACAGCCTCTTTGTATTGCGCGGTGTTGACGTTCAAAAGGTGTGTGTGTTTTACATTGAATTGTCGGTACAACAAAGGAGTGTCGCACCAAGGGACGTTGAAAATCATGGAAAAGTCGGAAATGTACAGGTACATACAAACTCAAATCGGTCAACAAACAAAACTGGACTTGTGTTCTCCGATTTCCGCTACAGATTCGTGGATGTTAAATAAACCGAGTAGTGAAGCATATGTTAGCAAACCATGAGCACAGTCAAGTCTAATCAGAACATTTCCAACATAAGCCTTCCTTCCTGAATAGGCCCCAGTGAGAAGCGACATATATAGAGTGATCCAGAAAATTAGTACGTACTCGAATCGTGGCAATTTTACATCTCAATCTGACTAGGTCATCGAGAGATCTAATGGTTGATTTCGAGAGACGAGATCTGAGGAAATTTAGGCATGCTTTTCCCGAAATAATCTTGAAAAGAAAAGCCACAGTTGCAACATTGCACGATTCATGTCCGGGACGATTTCGCTGCATCTCAACATGGTGCACACTGCACAACCATACTGTTTATATAAGTTCATGTAAAACCATAATTTTCGATAAATACAGGAGAAATTTCAATAGTCAAGTTACGTCACCATGGTAAAGACACATGAACAAAGAACTGTTTCCGCTGACACAATATTAGGTTTCCATCAATGTATGGCAATGGTTTGAACAAACCTAAAAAGCCTGGTATTCTAGGCCACGTAAATGACCCGAAACGCAGTGCTTCGGTCAGCTGGATGTTGCGTCATCAGAAGATGACGAGCGAGGGCCGACGACGGGATCTTATGGTTTCGAACGTTGTCATTATGCCTTTGATCTGATCCTGATTGCATCACAAAACGTTGTACCCAATTTGGAATATATTCAATCACTCGGTTACGTAACTGCCGCTCTGTTCGACCCACGTAGGTTGCTCCGCAACTAAACTGAAATTGGTAAATCAGATTCGATTTGGTGTACAGAGGTGGACGTTGTTTCACCGACGGTGTGGGGATCTCAATCGTTCGATGAACAATTCTGAGGTCAGCTGCATAATATGTTCGGGCAAGCGCTGATCCAAGTGGTCGTTTGAGCAAGCAATTGATGTCATCACGTTTGAATGGAAGACAAATGGTGACTAGTAGTTTTTCTGCTGAACAATTCATTTGTCTGATCACTTTAGGCTTGCTGTGCCTTTCGATAAATGCATCGGGATAAGCGTTTCTAGTCAAAGATTCTTTCAGCTGTCGTTGTTCGTTGTCAATCATGTCTTCGGTGCAGATATGTCGTGCTGTTTGAAATAGTGTTCGGACCAGACCACGTTCATATTCCACAGACACAAAGCTGTCATATCGCGGTTCGGGCCATTTGGGAAGCGCTGCGTTTTTTAATTGCGGGTTACTTAGACGAAATCTTTTTGTGTGGATGTCGTAGTCCTCCTGGCAGAATCCTCACAGTCCGTTGATACGTACTTGTGTTGATTGGCTACTTTGCTTTGTGGTGCTAATCTATCGCCGTATGACAACTGATGCGGTTCCGGCAGCTAATGCCATCATTCATCATTTGATATTTCAGTGAGGTGTTCTGAGATAACTAAATTCAGGCAAAGTGTCGTACTTCGAGAGTGCAGTGCTGCTGGAACTTTGTCAATTTCTAGGACTAGAGAAAAATAGAACTACAAACTATTCTGCACAAGGAAATGGGCTTATTTCACAATTGAAGGCTTTCAACGGTCGAAATTCCCATGATGTGGAAAATCCACTTGTAATTTTCACATCGAAATGTCTGTCGCCGCGAGCCGGAATCGGACCGGCCACCCTCCACGTACCGGGTAGAAGCTCCACCAGATGAGTTATCATGGTCCGGACGGCCAACTGTGAATAAAGTAAGTGAATATTCGGTGACGCATGAACCACTATTCCAGTGATGCACAGTAACTATCCTGGTTTTAATCACTGGGCTAGCCTCGTCGGTCACTTTCCATTAGGGCGAGAAACACACAAATGAACCTGCGTATTGCCACTTTGTCCCATTGCTTACCGTGGTGCCATCCATAGTTCTACTGGACAAAAGCCACACTTTTATGGACAGGAATGGAAATACGACGCCCGAAAGACAGACGACCAAGTTGTGTCAACAATCAGTAAATGGTTGTCGTGGGTATGTCTGCAACGTGTTGGCCAAGCTGAAGCAAGCCAGCCAATCATCTCGTAGTCATATGGAGATAGCTTATAGATATTAAAGAGAGTTTTTCAACAGGAAATCCTCCATCCCTCTCCTGAAGACTGTTTATAAGATATGACCCCATAAACGCAACCAAACCCAGTGATACCTTCAAAATTCTACAAAGAATGGTACGGGGTTTTCACAGTAGAACGAGTGTTATTTGGCTCTAACCGTGTCATCCGAGACTTTAGAAGCACATGAAATTCGTTCATTTTGTAGTTTTATCAACTGGGGAGATACGAAGATGAGTCAGACCAGCCAATATAGCACGATGGTTCTGAGTCAAGTATACCTGATGAAACGGTCGAGATGGATGCTGCGAGTAAACGAGGAATGGCATATGCGTAGGTGAAGATACTTTCATTGAACGGGGAGCAGTGTAAGGTGATACCGAAGATGATCGCCGTGAAGTACCTGATTATGGACTTGTCACAAAAAATCGTCTCTATTAGTGTTATTTCAGGTCACACAACTAGTGTGGTAAAGAATTCGGAATTGCAAGATACTGAGTGCAAGAACCAGGACACTCCTCGTATAATGTTGGCATTCTGTGACGACACTACCCTGCCCTTTGACAGTGTCTCTACTTGTTCCTTAATATAAGTTCCGTTCAAAACACCAAAGATTCTTCCCTTCTGATTTCATGCAGGTAAACTTCCATTTTTTCGTGATGGAGAGAAAGCGCACGCTCATAACCAAGAAATATCACTGCTTCAATGAACAAAAGGAATATAAAATTATGAAAACGCATTTTGCACACGATTTGATTTTAGATATGGCTCAGAACCTTTATTTAAGTGAATAAGCCTTTTTTCGCATCCATCTTGTAAAATACAATGTTGCAGTAAGACGGGGTCTGCAAAATGCTACCACATTCGACCCGGATAATGATGTTACCTACTTTTTGATAAAGAAAATAACTTCTAAAGGGCAATAACTATATCCAGCGAGAAGGTTTCCCAATAAACTACCGTACTTCATTGTAATAAGGGACGAGTTGAAGTAGGCTGCTTTGTTTTTCCGCCGCTCTGAAGCAAGCCCCATAAGCCGAACAAAGGTAAACACCTGTTGTAATGGCGGAAGAAAATTAGTCCGGCTTCCAGTGCCCTTCATGTGACTGGTCTCCTCTCCCACACCAACCGTTATAACTCCCATAATGACTTGCTTAAAGCTGTCAACTATTCTCAACTGGTCACTAGGTAATGTTTACGCAATCAGGATGCATCTCTTTTGATATGCACACAGCATTTCTTTGTAGCAAGCTGTATAACCTGCTTTAGGACGTTAACCTTTAGGCCTTTCTCTTGTGGAACATAACGAAACATATCATTCGATTGCCTTTCTACACTGACTGACCGTTGAAGAACATTAGGCTATGCTACAACCAACCCTCACTTTCAAAAGTATTGACAGAGCATTTGCAAGGCAAACGGTTTGGTGAGGGTCGCTTCAAAACTGAACCTTGTTAGGGGCGACTACTTGCATTCTGAACTCCAAATTCTGTCATAATCTAAGGCGACCATAGCGTGAAAAACTTTCACTTACGCTACGTTTTGAGTGTCTAGAAAAGAGGTGCATGAATGAAATGTGTTGTAAGTACTTAACAGTGACACAGAATTATCCATGGATCTTCTAATTATCTAAAGTCTTGGTTACAGATAGTAAGCTGTTTCGTTCCGTCCCACCAGCTCTAGTGAGAAGTCTATTCCGCTTATTATTCATCTTATTTTATCAGCTAGAAACACATCGTTTATATAGGAAGAAACAATCATTGACGCCAGTCGTTGCAACGCATAAGTAGCCTGTCCTCTTATTGGTTGATTGATCACACGACCAGCTGCCATTTGACGGGAATCCGTTCGCGTCTCATCGATTCGCTGCATTGTCATTCGAGCATCCGCTGGCACAAGCACTGACTTGGATTCCGGCCAGGCGCTGACATGCCGATTACTGACGGGACATGGCTTGCTATCGACCATGAGTCAGCCCATACCCTCACATAAGCTTTCATAAATTAGGTTTAAAATCAGTAGATTTTATAGTCTTATGTCATTGGGTGTCAACTGGTGCATGAGCTTGTACTCGTGGTAGGGCAGAGGAGCGAACTGAACCTGCACTACCATTATCATCATCCGTGGTGGTGGAATCCTTTCAGGTCCATATGGTATTAACTCATTAGTCATGTTTGCTTCACCGAAGAAATATTATTCCCGCTATTTTGACTGATGTATACGGGGTGAAGATACCAGAGTGTTCTTGGTGTAAAAACGAATATCTTATTTGCCAAGAGCGTTTCTGTTTGCCTTTGAAGTACTAGGTCTGCTGAGGTACCCATGAAATTGAACAAATATTCCACAACTCCTGTTCGTCCAAATGATTTGTTTCCTATTCAATTAGAATCAATCTAGTAAAGGAGTTGGTACTTATCTGAAATGATTCGGTTGTCGTATTTCCAACTAAATCATGCACTTTCATGAGATTTTGCCTCTTTTGGGTAACGAAGTGATGAGCACATGTTCCATACACTACAGAGGGGTCAAACTACCTCTTGAAAACCTGCATTTGTGTGGATTTCTGATGGCCTATCCTGGAGAATTTCCAAAATCCGAACACCAAAAAACAACCTACTCAACGTCGTCTACTTCCAAACACTTTTCGAGGATAGAAATTTTCTTTGTGTCTCGGTCGTACCCCCACGAATTTCTCACCCCTACTTCTAGCACAAACCGGTGGATGGTGGCAGATTTTGATCAAACCCTAGGTTCAATTGTGTATTTTTGTTTGTCATAGACAAACTAAATCAGCGCGAAATATAACAGTGAGTGAGACAGCTACAAATCTACTTTTGGGCAATAAACTCAACAAAATATGACACAAAATGATCTTGGGAAATTCTCTGTATACCACAACGATGATGGTGTTGGTGATGGGTGACTTGTACACAACGTAAAATCATGCTGAAAAAAGATCTGAGGAAACAATTGATAACCGATCACACATGAGGCAATGTGGGAACGTATTATGTTAGACGTAATCATGAAAACCAAGACAGAAATACAGAGTGATTGAATATATTCCAAATTGGGTACAACGTTTTGTGATGCAATCAGGGTCAGATCAAAGGCATAATGACAACGTTCGAAACCATAAGATCCCGTCGTAGGCCCTCGCTCGTCATCTTCTGATGACGCAACATCCAGCTGACCGAAGCACTGCGTTTCGGGTCATTTACGTGGCCTAGAATACCAGGCTTTTGAGGTTTGTTCAAACCATTGCCATACATTGATGGAAACCTAATATTGTGTCAGCGGAAACAGTTCTTTGTTCATGTGTCTTTACCATGGTGACGTAACTTGACTATTGAAATTTCCCCTGTATTTATCGAAAATTATGGTTTTACATGAACTTATATAAACAGTATGGTTGTGCAGTGTGCACCATGTTGAGATGCAGCGAAATCGTCCCGGACATGAATCGTGCAATCTTGCAACTGTGGCTTTTCTTTTCAAGATTATTTCGGGAAAAGCATGCCTAAATTTCCTCAGATCTCGTCTCTCGAAATCAACCATTAGATCTCTCGATGACCTAGTCAGATTGAGATGTAAAATTGCCACGATTCGAGTTCGTATTAATTTTCTGGAACAAAATGTGTCCGTTGCAACAGATACCCGATTACGTTTTGCAAACGCTTACGGAGGAATAAGATATGTGCCTCTACCAGGAATTTGAGACGTTTGATGCGATGTCAGATTGATAATTATAAAGAAAATCCAACGACACTTCAGACCACGTGCATCGAATGATCAATAATTCTTGACGAACTGAGCCTCGTTAGCCGAATCAAATTTACCAACTTGTGCATGGGAAACATACGAAAAGCCAAACTTTGTACATTCAACAAGCTTCACAATTCCATCGTTCACAAGTTAGCCGAACCAAATTTTCCGAAACAATGAGAAAAGTTTGTGAACAATTTGTCATCGGTTGCACGAATGAACTTCAACTACAGGCTATTTCGTGTGGTCTACGTTGTTGCATACCACCGAGTAAAATAAACAGCATGAAGACACAGGCGCAATTCGAATATCCATTCGAACAACTACAAATAGTCAAACCAACTTGAAACGATGCGGAGACTTGGTTCAAAGCAAAGCTGATTGACTTGGAACGACAGTACCGGATGACATCGTCCAAACATAAGTCACTCTTCACGCCGGAGCACATTCACATCCGCCATTGAAGAGCTACAGTTGCGACCTGATTTGTTAGTTGTACGCCCTAACAAGGGGTCCGGAGCAGTGCTGATCGATCGGAATGATTATGAGAAGAAGATGGAAAGTGTTCTTCATGATCCCAGCAAGTTTGTACTCGAAGATGACTGTGAAGACCCTAAAGAACTAGAACAACAGATATCGACAGAAGTACAGTTTCTAATAGAAGGACACTTCATCGATGAAAGCAAAGCTCACAATCTGAAGCCAAAAGGAATTCAAAATGCACAACTGTATGGTTTACCGTAACTACACAAACCCGGAATGCTACTTGGACAAATAATACTAAAATACTACTACTACTACTACTACTACTACTACTACTACTACTACTAATACTACTACTACTACTACCACTACCACTACTACTACTACTACTACTACTACTACTACTACTACTACTACTACCACTACCACTACTACTGCTACTACTGCTACTACTACTACTACTACTACTACTATCTATCTATCTATCTATCTATCTATCTATCTATCTATCTATCTATCTATCTATCTATCTATGACAATTTCACCACAGCACGAATTGGCCAAATGGCTGGAGAAATTGCTCGAGCCAGTTCATAAATCAATGGTCAGACACACTATGAAAGACAGTTTCGAAGTAGTAAAGCTTTTGGACCAGATCAATGGGAAAGGGAAACACATGGCTTCATTTGATTTCCAATCACTGTTTACGAATGTTCCCGGTCGGGAGATCATACGTATCATCTGTGACCATGTGGAGGAAAACTAACTGAAAATCGGTATACCAGTATCAGTTCTGGTTAGACAATTACTACTGTGCACAACAAACGTATCGTTCTCCTTCCTTGGTCGGGCTTACAGACAAATTAACAGTGTCCCAATGGGAACTCCATTGAGTCCCATTCTGGCACATGTATTTATGGCTCATCTTGAGAAAAAGGCGAGCAAAATCCTCCAACATTCACAACTTTACAAACGATTCGTTGATCATGTTCTAGTTATCACAATGAGTCCAGAAGAGACAACATGGATTATGGATGAACGCGATCGCCTGCATCCGAATATACGATTTACGATGGAAGCAGAACGCGAAGATACACTGCACTTCCTCGACATTAAAATGATTAGGAAGAAAGATGGAACAATCGCCAGATCTGTTTACCGAAAAGAAACTTGGACAGGCCAATGCTTGCAATTTGACAGCTTTGTGTCTGTTGAATATGAACGTGGTCTGGTCCGAGAACTATTTCAAACAGCACGACATATCTGCACAGAAGACATGATTGACAACGAACTACGACAGCTGAAAGAATGTTTGACTAGAAACGCTTATCCCGATGCATTTATCGAAAGGCACAGCAAGCCTAAAGTGATCAGACAAACGAATTGTTCAGCAGAAAAACTACTAGTCACCATTTGTCTTGCATTCAAACGTGATGACATCAATTGCTTGCTCAAACGACCACTTGGATCAGTGCTTGCCCGAACATAATCTGCAGCTGACCTCAGAATTGTTCATCGAACGATTGAGATCCCCACACCGTCGGTGAAACAACGTCCACCTCTGTACACCAAATCGAATCTGATTTACCAATTCCAGTGTAGTTGCGGAGCAACCTACGTGGGTCGAACAGAGCGGCAGATACGTAACCGAGTGATTGAATATATTCCAAATTGGGTACAACGTTTTGTGATGCAATCAGGGTCAGATCAAAGGCATAATGACAACGTTCGAAACCATAAGATCCCGTCGTAGGCCCTCGCTCGTCATCTTCTGATGACGCAACATCCAGCTGACCGAAGCACTGCGTTTCGGGTCATTTACGTGGCCTAGAATACCAGGCTTTTGAGGTTTGTTCAAACCATTGCCATACATTGATGGAAACCTAATATTGTGTCAGCGGAAACAGTTCTTTGTTCATGTGTCTTTACCATGGTGACGTAGCATGACTATGGAAATTTCCCCTATATTTATCGAAAATTATGGTTAACAATCATCAATCTGATATCGAATCAAACGTCTCAAATTCCTGGTAGAGGCACATATCTTATTCCTCCGTAAGCGTTTGCAAAACGTAATCGGGTATCTGTTGCAACGGACACATTTTGTTCCAGAAAATTAATACGAACTCGAATCGTGGCAATTTTACATCTCAATCTGATTCGGTCATCGAGAGACCTAATGGTTGATTTCGAGAGACGAGATCTGAGGAAATTTAGGCATGCTTTTCCCGAAATAATCTTGAAAAGAAAAGCCACAGTTGCAACATTGCACAATTCATGTCCGGGACGATTTCGCTGCATCTTAACACGGTGCACACTGCACAACATTACTGTTTATATACGCTCTATCAATGTATGGCAATGGTTTGAACAAACCTCAAAAGCCTGGTATTCTAGGCCACGTAAATGACCCGAAACGCAGTGCTTCGGTCAGCTGGATGTTGCGTCATCAGAAGATGACGAGCGAGGGCCGACGACGGGATCTTATGTTTACGATCGTTGTCATTATGCCTTTGATCTGACCCTGATTGCATCACAAAACGTTGTATCCAATTTGGAATATATTCAATCACTCGGTTACGTAACTGCCGCTCTGTTCGACCCACGTACTTTGCTCTGCAACTAAACTGAAATTGGTAAATCAGATTCGATTTGGTGTACAGAGGTGGACGTTGTTTCACCGACGGTGTGGGGATCTCAATCGTTTGATGAACAATTCTGAGGTCAGCTGCATAATATGTTCGGGCAAGCACTGATCCAAGTGGTCGTTTGAGCAAGCAATTGATGTCATCACGTTTGAATGCAAGACAAATGGTGACTAGTAGTTTTTCTGCTGAACAATTCGTTTGTCTGATCACTTTAGGCTTGCTGTGCCTTTCGATAAATGCATCGGGATAAGCGTTTCTAGTCAAAGATTCTTTCAGCTGTCGTCGTTCGTTGTCAATCATGTCTTCTGTGCAGATATGTCGTGCTGTTTGAAATAGTGTTCGGACCAGACCACGTTCATATTCAACAGACACAAAGCTGTCAAATTGCAAGCATTGGCCTGTCCAAGTTTCTTTTCGGTAAACAGATCTGGCGATTGTTCCATCTTTCTTCCTAATCATTTTAATGTCGAGGAAGTGCAGTGTATCTTCGCGTTCTGCTTCCATCGTAAATCGTATATTCGGATGCAGGCGATCGAGTTCATCCATAATCCATGTTGTCTCTTCTGGACTCATTGTGATGACTTGAACATGATCAACGTATCGTTTGTAAAGTTGTGAACGTTGGAGGATTTTGCTCGCCTTTTCCTCAAGATGAGCCATAAATATATGTGCCAGAATGGGACGCAATGGAGTTCCCATTGGGACACCGTCAATTTGTCTGTAAGCCCGACCAAGGAAGGAGAACGATACGTTTGTTGTGCACAGTAGTAATTGTCTAACCAGAACTGATACTGGTATACCGATTTTCAGTTAGTTTTCCTCCACATGGTCACAGATGATACGTATGATCTCCCGACCGGGAAAATTCGTAAACAGTGATTGGAAATCAAATGAAGCCATGTGTTTCCCTTTCCCATTGATCTGGTCCAAAAGCTTTACTACTTCGAAACTGTCTTTCATAGTGTGTCTGACCATTGATTTATGAACTGGCTCGAGCAATTTCTCCAGCCATTTGGCCAATTCGTGCTGTGGTGAAATTGTCATAGATAGATAGATAGATAGATAGATAGATAGATAGTAGTAGTAGTAGTAGTAGTAGTAGTAGTAGTAGTGGTAGTGGTAGTAGTAGTAGTAGTGGTAGTGGTAGTAGTAGTAGTAGTAGTAGTAGTAGTAGTATTTTAGTATTATTTGTCCAAGTAGCATTCCGGGTTTGTGTAGTTACGGTAAACCATACAGTTGTGCATTTTGAATTCCTTTTGGCTTCAGATTGTGAGCTTTGCTTTCATCGATGAAGTGTCCTTCTATTAGAAACTGTACTTCTGTCGATATCTGTTGTTCTAGTTCTTTAGGGTCTTCACAGTCATCTTCGAGTACAAACTTGCTGGGATCATGAAGAACACTTTCCATCTTCTTCTCATAATCATTCCGATCGATCAGCACTGCTCCGGACCCCTTGTTAGGGCGTACAACTAACAAATCAGGTCGCAACTGTAGCTCTTCAATGGCGGATGTGAATGTGCTCCGGCGTGAAGAGTGACTTATGTTTGGACGATGTCATCCGGTACTGTCGTTCCAAGTCAATCAGCTTTGCTTTGAACCAAGTCTCCGCATCGTTTCAAGTTGGTTTGACTATTTGTAGTTGTTCGAATAGATATTCGAATTGCGCCTGTGTCTTCATGCTGTTTATTTTACTCGGTGGTATGCAACAACGTAGACCACACGAAATAGCCTGTAGTTGAAGTTCATTCGTGCAACCGATGACAAATTGTTCACAAACTTTTCTCATTGTTTCGGAAAATTTGGTTCGGCTAACTTGTGAACGATGGAATTGTGAAGCTTGTTGAATGTACAAAGTTTGGCTTTTCGTATGTTTCCCATGCACAAGTTGGTAAATTTGATTCGGCTAACGAGGCTCAGTTCGTCAAGAATTATTGATCATTCGATGCACGTGGTCTGAAGTGTCGTTGGATTTTCTTTATAATTATCAATCTGACATCGCATCAAACGTCTCAAATTCCTGGTAGAGGCACATATCTTATTCCTCCGTAAGCGTTTGCAAAACGTAATCGGGTATCTGTTGCAACGGACACATTTTGTTCCAGAAAATTAATACGAACTCGAATCGTGGCAATTTTACATCTCAATCTGACTAGGTCATCGAGAGATCTAATGGTTGATTTCGAGAGACGAGATCTGAGGAAATTTAGGCATGCTTTTCCCGAAATAATCTTGAAAAGAAAAGCCACAGTTGCAACATTGCACGATTCATGTCCGGGACGATTTCGCTGCATCTCAACATGGTGCACACTGCACAACCATACTGTTTATATAAGTTCATGTAAAACCATAATTTTCGATAAATACAGGGGAAATTTCAATAGTCAAGTTACGTCACCATGGTAAAGACACATGAACAAAGAACTGTTTCCGCTGACACAATATTAGGTTTCCATCAATGTATGGCAATGGTTTGAACAAACCTCAAAAGCCTGGTATTCTAGGCCACGTAAATGACCCGAAACGCAGTGCTTCGGTCAGCTGGATGTTGCGTCATCAGAAGATGACGAGCGAGGGCCTACGACGGGATCTTATGGTTTCGAACGTTGTCATTATGCCTTTGATCTGACCCTGATTGCATCACAAAACGTTGTACCCAATTTGGAATATATTCAATCACTCTGTATTTCTGTCTTGGTTTTCATGATTACGTCTAACATAATACGTTCCCACATTGCCTCATGTGTGATCGGTTATCAATTGTTTCCTCAGATCTTTTTTCAGCATGATTTTACGTTGTGTACAAGTCACCCATCACCAACATCATCATCGTTGTGGTATACAGAGAATTTCCCAAGATCATTTTGTGTCATATTTTGTTGAGTTTATTGCCCAAAAATAGATTTGTAGCTGTCTCACTCACTGTTATATTTCGCGCTGATTTAGTTTGTCTATGACAAACAAAAATACACAATTGAACCTAGGGTTTGATCAAAATCTGCCACCATCCACCGGTTTGTGCTAGAAGTAGGGATGAGAAATTCGTGGGGGTACGACCGAGACACAAAGAAACTGTCTATCTTCGAAAAGTGTTTGGAAGTAGACGACGTTGAGTAGGTTGTTTTTTGGTGCTTGGTTTTTGGAAATTCTCCAGGATAGGCCATCAGAAAACCACACAAATACAGGTTTTCAAGAGGTAGTTTGACCCCTCTGTAGTGTATGGAACATGTGCTCATCACTTCCTTACCAAAAAAGAGGCAAAATCTTATGAAAGTGCATGATTCAGTTGGAAATACGACAACTGAATCATTTCAGATAAGTACCAACTCCTTTACTAGATTGGTTCTAATTGAATAGGAAACAAATCATTTGGACGAACAGGAGTTGTGGAATATTTGTTCAATTTCATGGGTACCTCAGCAGAAACGCTCTTGGCAAATAAGATATTCGTTTTTACACCAAGAACACTCTGGTATCTTCACCGCGTATACATCAGTCAAAATAGCGGGAATAATATTTCCTCGGTGAAGCAAACATGACTAATGAGTTAATACCATATGGACCTGAAAGGATTCCACCACCACGGATGATGATAATGGGAGTGCAGGTTCAGTTCGCTCCTCTGTCCTACCACGAGTACAAGCTCATGCACCAGTTGACACCCAATGACATAAGACTATAAAATCTACTGATTTTAAACCTAATTTATGAAAGCTTATGTGAGGGTATGGGCTGACTCATGGTCGATAGCAAGCCATGTCCCGTCAGTAATCGGCATGTCAGCGCCTGGCCGGAATCCAAGTCAGTGCTTGTGCCAGCGGATGCTCGAACGACAATGCAGCGAATCGATGAGACGCGAACGGATTCCCGTCAAATGGCAGCTGGTCGTGTGATCAATCAACCAATAAGAGGACAGGCTACTTATGCGTTGCAACGACTGACGTCAATGATTGTTTCTTCCTATATAAACGATGTGTTTCTAACTGATAAAATAAGATGATTAATAAGCGGAATAGACTTCTCACTAGAGCTGGTGGGACGGAACGAAACAGCTTACTATCTGTAACCAAGACTTTAGATAATTAGAAGATCCATGGATAATTCTGTGTCACTGTTAAGTACTTACAACACATTTCATTGATGCACCTTTTTTCTAGACACTCAAAACGTAGCGTATGTGAAAGTTTTTCACGCTATGGTCGCCTTAGATTATGAAAGAATTTGGAGTTCAGAATGCAAGTAGTCGCCCCTAACAAGGTTCAGTTTTGAAGCGACCCTCACCAAACAGTTAGCCTTGCAATTGCTCTGTCAATACTTTTGAAAGTGAGGGTTGATTGTAGCATAGGCTAGTGTTCGTCAACGGTCAGTCAGTGTAGAAAGGCAATCGAATGATATGTTTCGTCAAGTTCCACAAGAGAAGGAACAAAATGGGGCAGTGAAACACATCATACTGTTCTCTTGTTTGGCATTTTTGAAACCACAGACCATTCCTAAAGCCGTTCCGTACAACTGTTTCTTATCTCACCTGATTTTTTAGTGAATATGAAGCTTTCTAAGGTGTCTGTCTGTATCTGCACGAAGATGCTGAAAGGAAAGACCCCGCTGGATGGCCGACCTTAGGTAATTTATCCTTCGCTGAAAGGCCTCAAGGTTAACGTCCTAAAGCAGGTTATACAGCTTGCTACAACGAAATGCTGTGTGCATATCAAAAGAGATGCATCCTGATTGCGTAAACATTACCTAGTGACCAGTTGAGAATAGTTGACAGCTTTAAGCAAGTCATTATGGGAGTTATAACGGTTGGTGTGGGAGAAGAGACCAGTCACACGAAGGGCACTGGAAGCCGGACTAACTTTCTTCAACGTATTACCCTTGTCTCTGCCACAAAATGTGACCGTACACGGAAGGACGAATGAACTGCGCTAAGATATGTAATCTTTTACTTCAAGGTTGCTAGACCTGGGAAATGCCCTTCCTCCTCTGTCGTGAGGTATTGCGGGCACCATATCACAGCGGATACGTAATCTAACATTGCCTTCGTCATGTTCCTTCGTGTTTTCATTTTTAGTCATCTTGAATGCCGTGCCGATAAAATATGCTTTATCGGGCCTAGAGCTTGAAGCATTGAAAGTAAGCCTGTTTGTTAATTGACGTTCTAATATACGTTAGACTACGACTTTAAAGAAGACTGTCACCTTTTTAGTTTCTTCCCAGGGATTAACTATAAGCTTCCCTCAATACTTATAACCCTATTTTCCAAGATGTTCGTCTTTTCAACGGAAGGGACAGATTCCATGAACATAACAGTTGACGGTATATTTAGTGGTTGCAGATGACCACTTTGAATTCGGGACTTGGATTAGTCACATACCTGTCAGGACTTGTAACAAGTGTTATCTACCTTGGAATATGAACATGGGTAACATCTTTCAGGACAGCCACGAGCTAAAGATTCCAAATACGTAGTACAAACTTTGCATCGCATTAATTGAGGGCTTGAATTTAGAGTTTCTATTTCCAAATCTTTAGCACGACGACCTTGCTCAAACAAAACTCAGAACGTGTGGATATACCCTAGGGAATAATGATTTCGATTACTGATAGGTGTGTATCCTTTCTCATTTAAGGAGAACTTATTCAGCATGGAAAGCAAACATTTCACAGACAGACTAGTTTACAATTTGTCCTGCAGGTTCACAACAGTTTACCATTTATAAAATAAATCATTTTTAGTTTAAGGAAATTGCACTCGGGTTGATGAACATACCTCTTGGAATATGACTGTTTAGCTCTAAACCGAGGACCAGAAAGAGAACAGCGACTGACATGTTTGCTCAGCAAGTTTGAAACTGACAAGAAGGATGATAATATTATTAAATTTATTTAGCCTAATATATTCCGCTATAACGAGCGTATCCAATAGAATCGTGTGTGCGAATAATCACGTGAACGATAACGGAACGAATGATGTTTGCCGTTAGATCGTCTAACGACACACTCCGTTCAAAATGACCCAGGGAAAGGCAGTTCCTCTGCCGTAGATTTATGTAATTTTCACCTTCGTTTTTCAAGCTTTCATAGTAAACACTTGTACATACCCACACCCGTATTACAGAACGAAAAGCATCGGACTGTTCAACCCACTGCTCGGGTCATCGTGATTAATCCATCAAGTACTGAACAACTCATTTCGCCCAAATCATTTG